GAGTTGCATCGCCAAGGCTGGAGCCACGAGGAGGAGGAAGAGTTTAACACCGTAATGGCAAACTCTTAAAGCACGGAATTCTTCTCCCTAGTAGGGCGCTGCGTGTGTGGACCATGACCTATTTTCTGTGATTGTTTTTCTAACTGACCGGTGACAGGAGAGAAGCAGGAACCTGTCCCCGGGCATCCCGGTGAACATCTGAGCTTTGGAGACGCAGGAACCAGCAAACCACGGCGACCTCCTCCGCCCCGGGCGGCTGGGCGATCGGAGGGAGGGAGGGAGGAAGGAAATGAGCGCGACCCGGCCGCAGGCAGAGCCCGGCGACCTGCGCGCGCCAGGGGCCCGGGCCCCACCCGAGGGCTGCGCCCAGGGCCCGGGCTCGGGCCCGAGCCTGGGCCAGGGCGAGGGGTGGTCGCGGGGAGACGCTCCCGACACCTGCCAGCACCCAGGAGCCCGGGAGGCTCGGAAGGCAACGTCGGAGGGCGCGCGCCCAAGTCCCCACAGGGCCGTCAGGGCACAGGCCGAGCGGGCCCACCGACCCCCGGGGCCCGCCGCGCCCCGGCCCCGCGCGCAAACCCGCCCGCCGCGCCTCAGGCCCAGAATGGCCAGCCCGAACTCCAGCCGGACCTCGGCGCCGACGGACGGACGAGGGGCGGCCTCTCAGCGTGGGGGGCGGCGGCGCAACTGTCCCCTCAGCCCACGGGCCGCGCGCGCGGGGCTGCCACCAGCACTCACCTGCCCGCTTCTCCTCCTCGCAACGGCGGCGCCACACTCCGGCCCGGACCCCACCGTCCGCCTCAACCAACCCCCCAGGCGGCGGTGGCGGTAGCGGCGGCGGCGGCGGCCGGACGGGAGGGGCGGGACGGCGGCCTGAGACGGCCCCGCCACCACGGCCCAACCCGGCTCCGCCCGCCCCCGGACCCCGCCCCCGGGCCACCGCCACCACCGCTCATTGGCCCGCGCCTCGCACGCCTGGGCGCGGCCCCGCCCCACCACCCAGGCGCCGTTCCGCTCGGATTCCGCTCAGCCATTGGGCGGATGGCTCGGGGGGCGAATGCTGCCGGCCGAAACGCTGCCAGCCCCAAGGACGCAATTGGCTGGATTTCACCCACGCCCGGACTATGATTGGATAGCAGATGCCTTTGGCCCCACCCCCGCCCCAAGTTCCGTTAACAGGTTCGGTTGCTCCCGACCTCCCTTTCGTGTGGGGGGGGGGGGCGGGGAAGATGGGCGGAGCCCTCGGCCTAGCCCCGGCCCCCAGCACGCAGCCG